GTCTCTATTTAAGGTAATTGTCAGATCAATAAGTGAAGTCAGATTGATCTATGGAATTCAACAAAAAAACACTTAAGCCATAAAAGGTACACTTCATTGCCTTGATGAGTTTAGTTCTTGAAACTATTGCAATCAGGTGTTTTAAAAGGGATTTTTCTGGTTACTTAAATGAACTGTATCACAGGTTCCAGTTTTGGTCAGCAATTTGGTCATCATATTATTAACATGTTTCTTTTTATGCAAGACTTGATTATCAAGGCATCAAAAAATGGTAAATAACTTCTTTGTATTTGTTTTCTTAAAAATTAATTTTGTTTAAAAGATCACTGGCTTTACCGCTGCAATGAAATCTCAACGGGATCGGAAATCACCAAGATATTTTGTGTGACATTCTGCAGATAAATCTTCAGAGAGTCTGAAGTTAATCTTCAACTTGTCATCTCTTAGTTTTGATAGAATTGAAGACATGCAGAAAGATATTGTAACTGGTTGTGTGTCAAGTTGTCCCTGTCTCCGTGACATGTGACAGCTTAGCCCATTGACATATTGTCACTCCAGCTTGCCAGGCCTACATGTTCAGATTACTTTTAAGGACAAATCGATCAAAGTATGTTTTTATGTGGCACTGACGATAAGATGACATGATAGAAAAGGACCATGCTTTTGTGATAAACTCCTGAGGGAGCTGTTCTCCATTATGCTGGCCATTGTTAATTTGGCCCTTGTCAGTCGCACATTGATTTATTTACAAATAGGACTGTCAGTAAATTTGCCAGGTATTCTTGCAGATTGATTGCCAATCAATATAGGTGATGTTTGACAACGTGAAATCATATGCTATGTTTTAGTGGCTAGAGCACAAAGGCTCAAGTTAAATATTTGGAATATAATCAGTCCAGGGAGATTTTATCTGCTGGTTGGCTATCTCTTTTCCCAATTTCCTATCCTGGTCTGCAATGTTTAGTTTGGACCTGTCACCTGTTTGCACTCCTCTCCGATCTTGCCCAGGTGACCATGACGTCGTCCGGCTGCATCATGCCGATGTTGCAGCCTTGTGTTGGCTTTGCTTTCTTTGTCCTACACTGGCTGATTCTCGTGCCGAGATTTCGGAGTGTCGTCTGCTGATAATTGTCACGATATTGTCTTGTTTTCACACTTCATGGAGTCTGGTGAAAGGCGACAGTCAACATGAAAGGGTCTGGTCTAGATTGGTCTGTCTGCCTGATCAATCCCTATGTTAGGATCTCATCCAGATGACTTGTCGTGCAGTCTCTACCTGAATGGAACCATGTCAGTATTAATTGGTGATTAGCGACTACGATACTGTAAACACATGCAGTGCTATTCACCTGCAAAATTGAATCAGTTGTAAGACAATGATCTGTGAAGACTAATTAATGAGTTGAGTCAAGGCACATTGGTTTGAAACAATGCTTGGGAGGACAGTTAGCTGAGCATGTTACTAATGACGGCCTTTAAGTCCTCTATGTCTTCCTCTTGATAATGACTGATTACTTTATAATCTTACAACCTTGGTTAGACCATCGCTACCAAAGTCCATTGGCCTCCTTCCAGGTTCAAAAACATTCCTATTAAATATCTGGGACTTTAACAAATTACAATATATTCGGGTTCCATGGCTTTTTTTAAATGCAAGATTGATAGTAAGCATTGAATTATTTTCTACATAAAATATTATTGACGTCATTTTACTTGCTGTTAGTTTCTGTTGAATTTATAGAATAGTATTATTACCTCATTTTTACTATACTTTCATACTTGTACACAAAGAAAAATGACAATTAAGATTGTGCAAAGAAAAATGACTAGTTGGTATGCATTAGAAAGAGTTTAACTGACTTCGTAACAATGTTTCAAATGTTTTCTGTAACATTTGACCTTTCTTGACTAAAAAGACCTTATCCTATCATGTTCTGTAAGTTTTTAAACGGCAAAGCTGCTGTTAATATTAATTTTTTATGCTTCTAAAGATTTATCTTCATTTTCTGCAAAACTGTGTATCTTGTTGATATGTACATGATAAGGGTACACAAACACAAACAGATTTCTACATTTAACTGTTTTTAATACACTTTGTCATGTAAAATAGCACTGTGTTTAATGGGTTCTGGAATCATTTTATTCTTTTTGTCTAATTTGGTATGCACAGCAAATTTCTAAAGTATGTTTAAGTTAATACATTGTCCATCATGAACCAATCGTATATCCAGTTTGGTTAAGCTTTGGTGAATATTCACTAGAGATGTGTAAAACATTCAGAAATCAGAACTATGGACATTCAGGAAAATATTGATCCCATTAAGTGTATAGATAGAACAGGCACTTTCATGTGTGTTTTGGACATATGTGAAAATAAGAAAAAAGCAACATAATTTGTCAGATTGTTAGATTAGATAAACATTTTATATAACAATTTCAGCCTTATATAAAACATCAGAAAACATTTCTTTGTGTTCCAATTGTCTCAATCTGAAGTCAACTTGAGCAACAGTGTTTGGATGATGTCATGAAGTTTATTTGGGGTGATGGTGTCATTGAATAGTTAGAAAGTTTGAAATTACATTGAACCCTTGTTGGTCTGTTCCCCATTAATCTAGAACACCCACCTCCCAGAGTCTTTTGGGAGGACATATTTAGATATTAAAAGGAACATCACATCCATGAGCGAGCGAGTATGGTTTTACATTGCTTTTAGCTATATTCGAGGAATATCACCGTGGGTGACACCACAAATGGACCTCACACATTGTACCCATGTGGGAATAGAACCCGTGCCTTTGGCGTGATGAGCAAACACTTTAACCACTAGGCTACCCCGCCGCCCCTCATCCATGACTGATTTGTCCAGATATTTCTTAACCTTGATTGATCTTGAACCATCTGGATGAAAAAGGATTCTCTTGAAAATAAAATAATAAAATAAAATAAAATAACAACACTCCCAAATTTGGAATATATATTCATGTGCATGACATCTAGTGATAATCCAGTATGTGTCAATAGTGCCAATGTGACTTGAAATTCTATCTCACTCACACACTAACATGTGCATAACTTAAGCACACATTCTGTCAGTCCACCCTGAACACAATTATGCTGCATGCTGATGTACAGTTTCTGGAATACATGTTTCCAGTTCAATTTTACTATTAAATTTTTGTCAAGGAAGTCTATTTGAGAGTGAGATTGGCAGCTGATTGAAAGAACCAAGTTGAACCAGTGAAAATCTTTATTTAGAACTTATCTCAATAGATCAGTATATTTCAATATTTTTCAAAATTTCTCAACATGGTCATTGTCATCCATTTGTTGTAATGAGTGTGTGAATCACTGTGTATGATTATAAGAGCGCCAGTCCCTGGAGAGTAACTACAGTATATAAGGTGGCAGCAAATTACACCTATTGATCAGAGCTCAGTGTTATTACATAGCCTCCAGCTAATTCCTCCATTCCAACTTGCAAATCAAAGCTTTTCATGCACAAATTTCAAGTCCCATCCTCATTTAGTGGGAAAATTGATTGTGTCGTGTCACCTGAAATGTAGTGAATGAAAACACTTGATGCCTTATTTCTATGGGATTGTCCTTGTTTTGTCTCCCCATTTACCATCACATTAATCGCGGAATATTTCTCACGGTAAATATTGTACGTATTGATTAGAAAGCGTGTGATTATCATGCATGACATTGAGTTCTGTCATCTTGTGGCTCGGGTCTATAATGCTTTGATTCATGAGTATTCTAATAATTTCTCACAGTTTATTAGTGTGTTGTATTGAAAAGGTGGCTTCTTTGATGTAACAAATACCACAATGATGAAGCAAGATCTGTTGCCTGCAGTCAATCTTTTGTTGAGGACAATAGAGTTTTATATCGAAAATCTGCGATCACTAGCTCAACTGGTCATAGAGCTTATGCAACGGGCCGACATCCGGCGCGTGTACTCTCTCACGTCATCTTTTCTTTTTCATGTTTTGTGTTTCTGCTTGGGAGTATGTTTCAGTATTGATTTGAGTTCGATAAATATGGTACTTCGTGACACAGTTTATGCTGGATAGGCTGCTCAATCTCAAGTATGTCAGAAGTTATATCATTACACCTTAATAGTTCTTGTTTTGCCATGGTAAAATATCCTTAGAGCTATTGTTTCTTGACTTCAGCTATAAAAAAAGAAATAATTTTGCAGAAGAAAAAACTTTCAATATAACTCCTTCCGTTGTCCTTACTTGAAAGTCATAAACATTTTAAAAAAAATAATAATATGCTTTAAAGAGAAATAGTTCATTATTAAAGCCAGTGGCCGAGCAACAACATGCTTCAAGAATATCATACAGTGACTGCCACATCACCATTTTGATGGAGGGAATTCATTGATTGTGACCTGTGCTACAGTTTTGTCCACTTCCTAAGATTCAGCTATCAGATGCAGGCTTTATAACTTTTGAAGCAAAGTTCAGACACTACCGGGCGGTGGGGTAGCCTAGTGGTTAAAGCGTTTGCTGGTCACGCCGAAGACCCGGGTTCGAATCCTCACATGGGTACAATGTGTGAAGCCCATTTCTGGTGTCCCCTGCCGTGATGTTGCTGGAATATTGCTAAAAGCGGCGTAAAACCAAACTCAGTCAGTCAGTCAGACACTACAACACTGATAACCTGGAAATGTCTACATGTCTTGAAACGAATGATGTCGCTCACAATTTGCAGTAAAGCAAGTGATTATATAAATACAGTTAATCAGCACTGGCTGTCAAAATACATACAATATAAGTTTTTATATATGTATTGGGTATGATGTAATAGTTTCCAGTCATCAGGCATCTATTCTGGAGACTAATCCAGAATTGTGATGATTCTAATTTCAGTGTTAAATCCCCACTTGTTCAGTTTACATGATGGTTCTACTTCTCAGCACAGAGAAAGGCATGCTCATCGTGTTGGATGTTGCAAATGTTTTGACAGTCTTTTCTTCTCTGTTTCAGAAATTCCAGTCTGTTTGAGAAGAAGAAGGGAGAGGATATGTCCCAGCTCATCAGTACATTTGAGGTGACGGAGTTGGTCGGCATTGTATCACTGCTGTATGGTATGCTGCTTCATTCTGGTGCACCAAGCCGTGGTGACACACCTCCCCCAGAGCTACCACAGCACACGCTCCTGGTCACCCTCACTGGACTCCGAATGCTCAATCATATGGCTGCCTTAGACCTGGACATGCTGCAGGTAAGTCCCATTGTCCATCCTTTTGAGGATTCATAAGTAGAACAGAGGCCCATTTCACAATATGATCGTAGCGCTATGACTGTCGTAAGTCAATGTTAAAGTATGGGAGTTACGATCACCTTAGCGCTATGACGGCTTTGTGAAATGGGGCCCTGGTCCACAGTAATTCATGCTTTCAGCAGATGTTGGCTAATAAGATCAGATGTTTATAGTGGGTGGGTGACCTGGCAGATTGTGTGCCATTGTATCCATGAAGATTAGGATCCTTCCTCATGCTATCACTCCCCCAGTGAGAATCCAGGTACTCATGCTATCACTCTCCCAGTGGAAATCCAGGTAAGAATTGGCCCCAATGTATGATGATTTGAAGAAGGTGGTCAGACTCAGTGACTTGATGATTGCATGTCATCATTCAAGTTATCACTGGTTTGTCTGGTCCAGATGCAATGATTTCCAGGCTTCTTTCATACAGTTGGAAAATTGATAGGTGTAGCATTAAAGAATGAATACACCCATCTTCAGTGTCTGCTTGACGAACTTGATTATGTACAGGCTATCATGATATAGCTGGCACATTGCTGACTGCAGGGTAAAGTAACATAAACTCTATCTTTGCTGTTGGGAACAAATCCTTCTTCAAGGGTGACATGGCTGAAATATTGCTAACCATGGCTGTAAACCTCATTCACTCTTTTTTACTATAATCTGCCTAAGCATCTTAACGTAATTCCTGGTGGCCCTACATGAATTCAGTTGCCCTGTGATGAGATTGGCAAAGATGTTGACATATATTCTGTAAGTTATGGCAGCTTGATTAAGAAGTGCTCATCACTGGTTCTTCCTAATGTAACTGGTGGTTAACATTGGGATTTGATGGTCGAATTATTTTTAGTCATTTCAGAATTCCATATTTTGTTTTGATGTGTTTTACAAAGAATTAGAAAGTCAGCACGTCTTCATACGTCGTATTCATCACTTTTTCAGCTCATGTGAATGATCTAGGGCCTTATACTGGTTCAATAGACTTATAGGGCTTCACGTTTGTTCCTTGTGACGGGAAGCTCTTCTTTGATCTCTATCTTATTGAAAGGGAGCATGTTATATTTGTCTGGAAGCTCACACTGCTTCAAAGGACTGTTGTATTTGTCTAGAACCTTGGACTTATTCTGTATGATCGTTTCTTTGTGACCTCAGTGTAGTTGCCTGACAGTGGGATCTTGTTCAATAGGAACCAATACCATAGTTCATCCATAACCTCTACTCCACTTTCTGACAACCTCGCCATTGCTCATTGACCTCACTCTGCTGGCTGGCTGAAACTTCAACCTAGTGGCCTGGAGCCACAAGCTGGTTGTCCAGAACCTGCCTGTGCTTATCTTGAACCTCACCCTAGATATGTAGAACCTCACACTGGTTATTTAGAACCTCACTCTGGTTTCTTGGAACCACAAGCTGGTTGTCCAGAACCTCCCTCTGCTTATCTTGAACCTCACCCAGGATATGTAGAACCTCACACTGGTTATTTAGAACCTCACTCTGGTTTCCTGGAACCACAAGCTGGTTGTCTAGAGCTTCACACTGGTTATTGAGAACCTCAATCTGGTTATTTAGAACCTCACTCTGGTTTCCTGGAACCACAAGCTGGTTGTCTAGAGCTTCACACTGGTTATTTAGAACCTCACTCTGGTTATTTAGAACCTCACTCTGGTTTCCTGGAACCACAAGCTGGTTGTCTAGAGCTTCACACTGGTTATTTAGAACCTCACTCTGGTTTCTTGGAACCACAAGCTGGTTGTCCAGAACCTCCCTCTGCTTATCTTGAACCTCACCCTGGATGTGTAGAACCTCACACTGGTTGTTTAGAACCTCACTCTGGTTTCCTGGAACCACAAGCTGGTTGTCCAGAACCTCCCTCTGCTTATCTTGAACCTCACCCTGGATGTGTAGAACCTCATACTGGTTATTTAGAACCTCACTCTGGTTTCCTGGAACCACAAGCTGGTTGTCTAGAACTTCACACTGGTTATTGAGAACCTCACTCTGGTTTCCTGGAACCACAAGCTGGTTGTCTAGAACTTCACACTGGTTATTGAGAACCTCACTCTGGTTTCCTGGAACCACAAGCTGGTTGTCTAGAAGCTCACACTGATTATTTAGAACCTCGCTCTGCTTATCTGGAACCTCACTTTGGATAGTAGAAACTCCCCCCTTAAACCCCCCTCTGCTTATCTAAAAAATCACTCTGGATGCCTAGAATCTCATATTGGTTATTTAGAACCTCACTCTGGATATGTAGAACCAGACTCTTTTTGTCTGAACCTTTAACTGGTTGTCTAGAAGCTTATTCTGTTACATGGAACTTCACTCAGGTTTCATACTACATTTTACTGGTGCTTTCTGATCTCTCTGACTGTCTTTCTAAAATTGCATGCTAGTGACCCATGACCTCACACTGGCTCAGTTTGACTGTGTGCAACTAAGTATAACCTCATTTTACTAAGTATAATCCATGAGACACTATCCCTCTTTCCCCTGACTCTGGTTGTCTTGAAGCCCCTTCTGGTTCTCTGGGGCAGCAGTCAGTTTCTCCAGGACCAGGCGCAGATTCTCCCTGCTCAATACCATTCCTTACCTACCTTACAGCAGCACTGCCAGATGTGCACTTACCTCAGACCTGACATAACTTACATGTGTTCAGCATCTTTGACAACAGCCTAAAAAAACCTCTGGAAACTGATTGAAATATCATATTTCCCACCGTTGTTTAGTTCCATGTCAGATTTCATTTACTCTGTTACTACTGCAGTTGCTGCCTGCTACAGGTGGTACCTGCTTTGTGTAATTTGTGAATACTGACATGGGAGCCTTGTTTAAAATCCAGCCTCTGTTTTTGTAGGCAGCAACTGTATAAGCAATGGTAGTGTATTTACAGTGAGAAGCAGTCCTGTCCACATGTGCCTTGGGTTTCAGGGTCATCAAGTTTGATTAACTGATTTGTTGTTTTTTCTCAAATTCCCCTGTATCTTCAGTTAAACAAACTACCATTTAAAAGAGGTGAGATTTCTCCAGGATTTCGCACAGATTAGGACCAGCTTGCATGCCAGTATTTCAATAAAATAAACCAATGAGGATATGTAATGCAAGTTTTTTATCTTTATATAATTTGTATAGTATTAAGTTACTTGTTAAACGGCTGTAGGCTTGAGCTCGTCAAGCAGGCAAATAAACGCCTGTCAATAGACTTGCCACTCTGACGTGCTGTCAAACACTTTTGCCAAAAATGTTGCACAGATCATAACAGGCGATGTCCAATTCCCTCAACAATTGACACAGACTGTCCCAAGCACCTGCCTGGATCAGTGGGGTGCCCTCCAAGTTTACATTATTGGCGGTTCTTACTATAACATCCAGCTTTTGTTTATGCTCTCTGCAATCTGATTTCCCCTTTCACAGCAGAACTATGCTAATTGGCCAGGGGCGGGATCGAGGGATATTTTCGCAAGAAATTCCTCCCCATTGGCCACAAAGCGATAGTTCTGTGTTGGGCGATTCTTGACATCTCCTTCTGCGTGTCCGAAGATTGTTGTATAATTCCGATATCAATCGCGATGGCCCTAGGGTTCTTGGCTCACAGATCTGAGGAGTTCTCCCCATTCAACCCTGCCTGTATTTGCTCCACAAACTTTCCCCTGCCTATGAAAATAATCTCTTTTCTTGGAATATTTGATGCCAGTAGGAACAGTTGATCTCGTATGAAACAAAAATTAGAAAAGGAAAGTTCTCTGTGTTTTCTTTCCAAACATTTACGGTGATTGTAATCTTTTTGATATGATATTCTTCCTCCTCACAGTAACAACTTTGATCCCAAGTGGTATAATTACAAATGTTGTCTGCCGGTTTATGTCAATGGGATATGATATTCTTCCACGATTTCCGGTATTTTCACTTAGCAGTATGTTTCCTTTCTTTTTTTGGGTTGTCATATACACAGGAAGTAACAAGATTAGCAAGTTACTTGGTTCAACTTTTTCTGTGTAGTCGCTTATTCATTATGATGGACCCATGAAGGTTGGGGCTAGAATTGATCTTCAGTAACCCATGCTTGTCGTAATATTAATAGGCGACTAAGGGGATCGGGTGGTGAGGCTCGCTGACTTGGTTGACACATGTCATTGGTTCCCAATTTGCGGAGATCGATGCTCATACTGTTGATCACTGGATTGTCTAGTCCAGACTCGATTATTTACAGACCGCCGCCATATAGCTGGATTATTGCTGAGTGCAGGGTTAAACTAAACTCACTCACGCACTCAATATTTATTATGATGTAACATGTATACTACAAAGCTGCAGCCTATGCAGTTTATACCCCTTTGTTTTAGATTATTCAGATTACAATCCAAATCCTGTCTACTTCAGTATTAATTTCTCACTTTGATGTTGAAAGGAAACATGATGGATGGGTTGTTGCATTCTTTCAAGATTATCATTAATTGATTCAAAACATATAAGTAGGAGCGGTGCCCTTTTCACTCGTGCAAGTGGAAGCCCTCGTGTTGAAACCTCTCCATTGTAGTTAATACAAAACACTACTCTGTGATCGCTAGTTCCTACGAGGCCTGTTGTATCTGTTTCATATCCCTATACATAAGACAGGATGAGTATTGTGTTGAGCTGTGCAGGGCTTGGTGGTGTTTGTGCTGTTGCTGCTGCTGCAGTAGATCCTGCTTGGCATCCTGGAAGGTCAGGAGTTACAAGTATCATTGCCCAACACAATGAAGTAAAGATGTGTACACTTCACGCTATCATCTCTCCAGTGCTGTGTGTGTAACACCACACTCAACTCACTCTGGCAACCTTTAGGTAGAGGATCATCAGGCTTCTTTCAGTATGGGATGTTTTTTGTATAGGATTCAGCTGTAGGAAGCATTCATGTTGGATGTTTTCGTATTTAAATCAAGTTTCTCTTGCTTTTTATATGTCTTTTGTAAAAGACCTTT